TGTGGTGAATTCAGCTCCTTGCTGGGGTCCACTGCTCCGTCCCTTTGTTTCCCCCAGTGCTGCAGCCCAGTGCCTGCTCTTTATGATCCTTTAGTGCAGGACCCAGGACTCTGCTCCTCCCTGCGAAGTGTATTCAACTGTCACCATTGTCCCCACAGATCCATTAACTCAGTTGCTCCAAACTCCTAATGCCAAAAGCGGCCCCCTCCTCCATCTCCCTCTCCCACTCCCTCTCCCCTCCCTCCCTTTCCCCTCCTTCCCCATCTCTCCCCAAGTCCACCAATCTCACTCTCTTGAGCTCCCTTCCCCTACCCCTGCCTTTGGTGGCAAAAAAGGAAAGACACACCATAAATACATGAAATTAGTGACTTACATAACTGAGGTGAACACAGTCATGCATCCTGGATCTGTATCTATACTTACCAACCTTCCTTCTCTCCCATCTATTGCACATGCGCCAAGCTAGGTGCTTTGCGTGTTTTCTTCACAACATCCTCAAGGTAAAGAATTCTGTCTCTGTCAGGGGCCTGAACGGTAAGTCACCTGCCCAAGGCCACTCAGCTACAGAGAGGTGGTCTCTGGATTAGAACACAACTCTGTCTGAACCCAAAGACTATACTCACCTGCTTCCAAAATCATGGTTGAAATTTTATACCATAAGGGGCAGCCAATAGCTGTAATTTCTACCATAGTTACAGAAAGCTGAAATAGATGGAGATCTGTCATTATAATACTCAAACTTAATTTGGGGCAATAATTCCACATTCTGTTTAAGTGGAATTTTTTCTAAGCTACCCCAAAATACAACCAATCAGGGGTCATCTTTTTTTCTTCTTTTCTCTCGTGGGTGGAGATGGCTATTAAGAGCTGGCAAATAGGTCTAAAGTGGGGTAACCAGAGAGTAAAGTGCCTTGAATGTCCCTGTGAGCTAGTCAACACACACTTACTAGTATCTTCCATGGGAAAGAAAAGTGGACCAAGCCACTCCGTGTCTCAGGAGACTTCACCCTACCCAAAGAGTCAAGGGATAAAATGGCAAAGTAGAAAACATCATAAGAAGAAGGCGAATGCACCAAGTGCAACCATGGATCACTAATGGTCAGCTTCAAGGGAAGGAAAACATTGTGAGATGTGGTGGTTGGGGGTGGCTTCTCGGAGGAGATGGGACTTAAGTGGACATTTTGAAGGATGAGTTCAGAGAGGTGAGGAATGTTCCACACACAGCCTCACAAACGTAGAACCAGAAGGAAGGGTGCCCACGAGGACAGACTCTCGTTTCGTATACAAGCTAGAAAACTGGAGTGGTTGGGTTCAGAGAAGAGACCAGGAGGGGGTGGGAGCCAGAGGGGCCACCTGGGCTTCAGGGAACAAGAGACTTGAGCTATTGTGTTGATTTGGTGGAAGACACGGTTGGAGAGTTGGGACCAAATAACAGATGGCCAGCATGTCATGTGAACTGCACTCTGTGGGTAATGACGGCCCACGTAGTAGGAATTCTCAGGTCAGAAATGCTTTGATGGAAGCAGAGTTCTAGGAAGCTCAGTCTGCAGGGGTGGACAGAAGAGGGAAATGGAGGCAAGCGGACCTGCTAGAAGGCTGTCGTAATGACCCACATGTGACGTGATCCTTCTGGAGCGGTGGCTGCAGGCCAGATATGAGAGATGTTCTAAAGGAAGGACTCACGGAATTTGATGACACATTAGCTATGGGGGTGACGAGGATATTAGAGAGAAAAAAAAGAGCTAACAGGCTAATTCTCCTCCTTCCCAACATATTGAGATAGAATTGAAAATACTTTAAATAGGAAACACATTTCAGAAATACTTTTTCCAAAAATATCTTCTTTCAAATGCCCCCCTCCCCCATGCCCCGCCCAGGGATCTAACCTAAAGTAAAGGTAAATTTACCATATGACCATAGAATTAATTTCATACATGAGCTTCTTTTCCCTCAAAGTCAATAATGATGCTAAAAATAATAATCTATTTAGAGTCCGCACCTTAAACATTTTAATCCCCTTAAACGTACTCCACGCTCTCTACACAAAAATATTGTACAAGGGAAAAAGAACCAGATGTCCTGACCTGACCCACCGGTTGGCCTCATCCACATGGCAATAGTTGGAGAAAGCTCAATACTGAGTGTCACAAATCTTGCTTTATGGATTCGTAAAGAGTAAACCATTTTAAATCTAAAATACAAAAGACTGCAACCCCCATGCATTCCCACATGGACATACAGTCAGGAAAGGAAATGCAAAGTGTCACCCTTGACACTTGTCTCTACTATTAACTACCACAATAGAAAGGACCACAACAGTCTGCCCGAAGCCACAGAAGTTTCCTTAGAAGGAAACAGAGAAGAGCCCCCTTAATTCTTTGATGAAGTTTCCCACTCATAAGCTAGCACGAGGTCAGTGAATATTTGGATTCATGTATTTTAGTTTTCCACTCCGCCATAAAAGTGGATTTTGCAACTTACTGAATTGAGCTTTCAGATGGCTTTTCGCCTCTGAGATAGCTCACTGCGTGCCCAGATAGCAGGACGCATCCACAGTGCAAATGGAGATCTGCACTCCCGGTTATTTTCCCTTCACTGGGAGGACCAGCCTTGGCGCTCAAACACTTTTCCAGCTGTTGGTATACTGATGGGAACTTCATGTGTGTTACCAGCTCAAGTGCTGTCAGGAAGAAACCAAATGTCAAACGGAGGTATGTAGAAGTCACCATAAATACGTCTCCGAATGTTTACCATCTGGAACCGTCGATTTAGATTTTGACAAGCAACTGGAATTGCCCTGTGGGCACTGTCTTTTAAGCAGAGCCTTTTAGTTGTGCTAAGTAACTTCATACTACTTTAGCCTTGCAGGGGGAGGGATGACACACCCCTTTGCCTTCTCAAGGTGTGAATTTATTATTTCTCAATCCTTCCTTTTTTAGCTCCATCCTGCCTAATCCTGCACACAATGGATTTTGTGTGGGGAGGTGGGGGGTGGGGAGAGGGGTGGAATTCTCCCAGATTGTCAAAATCCTGGGCAGGCAGCCTGGTGGTCAGTCTGCAACATGAATGACATCTGCTGTGGGGCTCCCACCGCTAAACGGAGCTTGGCTTTGTTAGATGCCATCACACCGCATCTCCGTCCTGTGAGGAGAAACTTTACTTTCTTCCGAAATAATTCTGTGAGAGTGAAACATGGCCTGGGTGGTCAGCACCGTACCTGCTACCTGTTGTGCTTGGAGTCCCAATCCTAACAGAACCCGGGATATGAGTTTGCCTTTCTGTCTTTATTTTTTTAAGCCCCAGTTCCATTGTAAAGCCATAATGGAATGACTGGAATTCCAGAAGACTTCAGCTTATGAACTTAGTCCTATTTGGGTTATGTAATATTGGGAATCGGATAATACTTGGACGTAATAACTGCCTGGTTATTTATGAGGAGACTTTCTCATCGAAGGCTTTGAGACTATAACCAGAGAACACTGTGAATTGCAACTAAACACCATACTGAAATATTGTTTTAATCATAACTTTTTAAAGAGAAGATGAAAAAATATCAACTGTCTGGCTGCGAGAAAAAATGTATACTACAAGTGGAAACGTAATTTTACAGGCATCGTTATGCAGTTGCATACAAAATACACAAAGCTCTAGCCATATATCCTGTTGTTCAGCCTATTAAACAGCTCCTATTTCAGAATAGCTTCTACACAGTTTTATTCATTGAATTTCTCACCTGCAAAGGGTAAGGACAGTGTTGGGTTTCTCTACCGAATGTGAGAGCCCAGTAGGAGCAAGAAATCCCGAGCACCACAGGTGTATGAACATGGGTGTAGGAGGGCAAGTCTGCCAGGGGGCCAAAGAAGTAACTCACTGACTCACCTAGCTCGACCAAAAATTTGAAAAATGAAGATTTTGGTTTTTGATCCCTGTGCAAACAAGGCATCGGTTTGAAAGGCCTTCTTTGTATCACAAATTAAACGTAGTATATGCGCCCCATTGTTACGCTCAGTTCAATGTAATTTTGGTGGGTGCTGCCGGCAGAGTGGTTACGGTACCAGCTACGCGCAGATATGATGACAGCTCATTTTATGTTGCTCAGGCACCGGATGACCATTAATTTCCAATGACTAATTTATAATTAAAACCTTTTTTTTAAATGTTTGTTTATAACGCAGCCAGAAAATCTATTTCCATTTAATTAACACTTCAGATAGCCTGTTTAAAACCTATAAATGTAGTGACTTTAATGATCCATTACAGAGATTCGACTTTAGTTTTCAATGACTTGTAAAACTTTCACAAACAGATCTGCAAATGAATTACCTCCATCAGCTCCCTGCAGCTGCAAGAGGATAAACTCCGTTAAAGAGCATTTTCCTACTTCCTCCTTTTCTGCTTTTCTTCTAGCTCTAAGCATTTTTGTTTTTAAAGCCGATCTATCAGCTGCTCAGAGGGCAGCTTCTTCTCTTAAGGAGTTTTCAATATCCAAATTTTGCTAGAAACCCTTGGGTCCATCATAAATCAGACATAATGCACCTTTAAAAAATCGGTTACGAAAGCATTTCCATCCCTGCCAGCAACTCAGAAATAGACTCCTAAGAGGATCTTTATAAACTGAGTGGTAAAATGCAGCAGTTTGGAGAGTGAATTTTAATTCTGAAAGCTAAAATAAAGGCTTTCTTGGCCTGATCCATCCTTTATGAACAATTTAGAGCTCCTGTTTTGGGTAGGTAACGAGACTATTAAAGCGTACAAATACCACTCCAAAAGACATTTTCTTAGCTACACCTTCAAGAGCAAGGCATGAGGAGTGTTAGTTCTATAAAGACGGCCAAGCACCAAGCTATGTTCACTGTTATCTGTCCACCATACAATAGCAGCATTGATAGGATTGCAACAACTGGCTTTGACAAGTATGCTGCGTTAGCATTCCATTCAAAACTATGTTAAGAGAGAGAGAGGGAGAGAGAGAGAGAAGCGTTCAGTGTCTTTTACTTTACCTGAAAAAACTGCCTTTCTTGTGGCTGCAGAAAATGAATTCCTCCTCTTCTTCTTCCAAAAGCAAAGTAGTTTCCTTGCCTGCAGCTCGCACTTGGAGAAGACCACACAGTTCCAGCAAGGCAGGCTTCCTGCTCCTAATCCCCACTCGAATGTGATGACACACACTAACCCCAACCATCTGGTGAAACACGTCCTCAAGCACTCAGCACAGTGGTGTCTCAAGACGGGCTGCCCAATCCAATTGCTGGGGCTGGGTGTCTCTCACCGACTGGAGGCTGAGGGCAGGACTGAAACTGGAGGTCTGAGAACTCCCAGTCAAGTAACCTGAGATTTCAGAGAGAAAGGACGGCTATAAAGAGAGGAGAAGTGGGAGGTGCTAAAGAGAAGGTGGAGGGAATGAATTATTCTGGCGGCCAGTTGTGCGTTACTTTTCACAACTCCTTGTGCTCCCCGGGGACGACTGGGACCCTCCGAGGGATGCACAGAAACACTACAAATCTTTTCCTGCCAACCTGGGGAGGGCAATCTTCCCAGCGAGGCACCACCCCCCCAACACACACACATACACATACACCACCACCACCCCCAGGAGATAAAAGATTCATCCTGACATACTGATAATGTGTTAGTGTAGGAGTAGTTTGCACTGAAATGTGACATCTACATTTGGAGATCTAAACTCCTACCTTCCTTTGATTAGATCATGGCTGCCTCCAACATTCCAGGAAGAAAGGCGGTGGGGGCACAGCGAAGAGCAGAAACTGATCTATTCCCACATACAGCTCTTCACTGTTTGCCACAGGCTGAACTTCAGAAATAGTCAATGAAAATCATTTTAGTTTCTCCTCATGTAACATAGCACACACTCCCACAGATAAAGGTGGCTTTTTTAATCACTTGCTGCTTTCACAACATCTCTTTGTAAAAGCTCTTGGTACCAGAGGGCTGCACTCTGTCATTGATTATTTTTATTGGCTTCTGGTTAATTGCACTTATAATGTCCATATAGCTCAAACAGCTCATTAACAATTTTGCTTTGAAATGTTTTCAATTTTTGGTCATTTTAATACCTCCTTCTTATGTGCATGTCTTTCTTTCTTTTTCTTTCTTTCCTTTTTTTTTTCCTTTTTTGAGTTCTCTGAACTGTTTTCCAGAACTAATTACTTTGAGAGCAGTCTGAACCAGAAAATGGCTATACTTGTTACAATGTTTTAAGGAGATATCTGGAAATAAATTAATTGCCACAAATCTCAGCACTTGAAAAACGCCATCAGGCTTCTGAGGAATTTCGATAATCTGAAAAGGAAAATAGGAATTTGAAATATTATCAACTCCCTGACAGGGTCTGTGGGGAGCCAACATTTTAAATATTGCACCTTTCGAATTTCTTTGAACTGGGATGGGGAGCGCTGGCAGAAAAACCCCAAAAAACTTTAAATTTGTCCCAAACATTAAAATCTACACTACAAATGGGTATCTCATGTTTGGAGTGCCAGTATCACAAAGAGAATTATTTCAGTACCTAGCAAAATTGACTTGACTAGCTTGTTTTTTTTTAGGAATTTTTATGTGCTATTATATTAAGATACTTAAAAAGTTACTCTTGGTGCAATTTTTTGAAGTACAGAATTAAGAACTCTAATTTTCAGACAGTGATTTTTTTTTTCTTTCTATAACCGGGCTGCAGGGAAGATAAGGGAAAAAAAAAAAAGAATTAGAGGTTGGAGTTCTGATTCATTTGCTTAATTTCTTCCCAGAAGTGATTATGAGGTGTGTGTTTCACAATATATACTATATGTACTAAATCACTACTCCTAATCAGCTAAATCCAGATACATAATCGACACAGAAACCTTCAACAATGGCAAGTGGCACCACAGGGCTAAAACTTCCCTTGGGCACCGTAAAAATTTTAATAGTGCCAATTATTGCGAGGCAATTTTTTTCATTAATTTTTTTTTGTTAATCCAACCAGACTCATGTCTGAAAATCTGGATTACCTCAACTGCATAGATTTTGAAGGCCCTCGAGACATTATTAAGGTAGTTTGCATTCTCTTAAACTGTAAATTGAGTTACAAAAGTAAAACCTCAGAAACTATAAAGGTGTTGAATCGTGTTTTATCAACCCTGTGCTTGTAATACACCTTCCATAAGACATTTCCCAAGTGATCCTGGCTCTGACCCACATTATTGTGGAAAGTGCCTTTTAACACAAACATTTTTATTCTATTCTTGACTGTAAATCTTTTCATTAAATCCCAGTTACCATTTCCCTTTTATTGATAACTTCAGCTATTTATACTGCTTAAAACTTGTTTTAAAATAAAAAAAAATACAAGTTGGGCAATAGATCCTGCTCATTTGCCATGAACTTAAATCCTTGCTCTGTGGGGTGTCCGCAAACATTACCTTTCAAGAGTATTGTAAGATGAGTCCACAGTGACACATTTTTTTTGTTGTTGATGTTCTGAAATGTTTTTGTTAAGGAAAATCAACTCAAACAAAAACCTGAAGCTGGTGCTGCAGGATAAGGTCCCAGCTTCCCTCTCCCTGTAGCCACAGTTTCGGTGCTCAGCAGAGTGTCCGCTTAGAAGTTAAGAATTTTCCATTACCTCCCTTCCTTTCTCCTTGCCATCTGCAAACAGTTTATTTTTTAAGGAAAAAAAAAGTGAAATTGATTCTGTCTTGAAAGATCTAAACCTAAAATACGGCGCATTCTGAAAGATGACATTCAGCATTTGAATGTAATGCGGCTCAGGGTGAGGTTGTGTGTAGAGGGAATGGCTCCATCGTAAGAATTAAGTAAGGACACTCCTAAAATGAAAGATTAATTGTAGGTAACGGTGATATTGAAAAATGGCCCCTCCTATTCTGTTCCCACAGTTAAAATGTCCCTTTACTTATTAGCTCCAATTAGTTTCCATGGTAACTGGCCAGCCCTTGTAAACCTGCACTCTGAGCTACACTCATCTTTGTCTAGACTGAGCTCACCACCCTTCTTCCTCCACAGATGGCAGTTTAGCTGGGTCTGTATCTATATCCATATCTCTCATGCACACAGAACCGGCCCATGAGTGCCCACATCACTTAATTACTGGTGTAATGGTGGCCAAGGGAGGGGCGGTGGCGTTTAGTCCCAGAGCTACAACGTGTGCGTCCACCGCCACACTAATTCATTCCCCCTCTTGGTTATTGTTTCTTCCAGTCTTGTTCTATTATCAGCTGTTTGCTGCTTGTAATTCCTTTTCAGGGAAGCCAACACAGTATAATAAAAACCTCATTAAAAAGAAACACCTATCAGCTTCGGAGAAAGCCCTAAACTACCCCTTTTTGTTTAAAGAATCATTAAAGTGAAAAAGAAAAACCACTTGTTTGTCATGCTTGAAAAAAAGAAAACAAAGCCAACATAAAGGTTTACCAAGCCAGGGGGCTAATATGAAGATTTAATGCACTTAAGACACCGTGGTTCTTTCCCCCCTCCTTGTGCTGCCAGTTGGCCAAGAATCCCAACATGAACACAGTAAATAGATGATCAGTGAGGCCGAGGGGGCGCGGCTACTCCAGTAACTTGGTGGGAAGAGAGGTCACCCGGACCTGCAGCTCCTGGCTGTCCCAGGGTGCCCTGTGTCATGGGGCTGGGGGCAGGTGCTGTCCCTGAAATCCCCGGCAGAATCTGATAGAGAGTGGGGGAGGGCCTTCAGCAAAGGCTTGAAATTGTGAGAACTCATAAAGCCATAAGCTCTCATCATGTGTGCTCGTTTTACTTCTTCGGACATAACTCAACTTGAATTCAGTGTTTTGAGGCAAACCATCCCTTACTTCTAAGCCAGCTGAGAAGCCAGTCTTCTGGGACCCCCATGTGTAATCTTTGTAAGGGTAAGCCAAAATGGTAGCATTAGATTTCTCCTTTTCATGTTACCTCTAGACCACCATCTTTCCAGCACCTGTTTTGGTGTATGAATAATGACTGAGGGAATAAGATTCCCCAATGCTGGTGATGTGTTTTATTCTTAAAATGGTTTCTGAGGTTGGCTTCTCAGGCCCTCTGTAACTCAAGTGTTAGAAAGGAAAAGAGTTCTGATCATCAAAGTTTAATCTGATGGGATAATGGAATCTGTGAAGCCCCTTTTCTTTGGTGGTAACATTCCCTTAGGTTTTTTCCTTTAAAGCAAATGACAAATGCCATCTGAAGTCCCACAGTGCTAGCAATATGTATAAGGATTAGCCCATTACTATTCATATCATATAAAGTGTCTATAGATGCACAATAAATCTTATAATTTGGAACATCCTGCACTTCTCAATTACTCAGATCTACCCAGCTTCCAGACATCTACTTCATCTTCTTCAACTAAACTTTACTGCCTTTATTCACACTGAACTAAACTAGTCTCAGAAACACAGAAGAAATCATTGCTTGTTCAATGAAGTCACATGCGATGCAACAAGCATCAGACTTGCTCATGTTTTCAATGAGTTCATTGCTATATGGGAAGTGACATTGGAACGGTAGTAGCTTTCATACCAGACAAATGATTTTATCAGGGAAGGGAAGTTCTTTCTGGGAGGCACAAGCCTAAGTATGCTGAAAAGGGGTGTGTAGCTACACTGTAAATAATTCTGGGAGGGTGAAATGAGGTGCTAAACCATTTAGAACAAAACAATGACCCTCAAATGGGAAAATTTAATGAAATGGAGTGGATTCAATAGAAAATGCAAATTTAAACCCATGTTGGTAGAAACCCATGTTGGTAGAAATCAGTTCTCGTTTGAGCAGATTAATAAATTTAGGAGACAGAATATTAGAAAGTATGGATATCAAGTGAGAGGAAAATGTGAATTTTAGCAATAAAAGTCTGGAAGTAAGGGTTGAGGATATTTGAGATGGCGTGTATCCTAAACCTAATGAGTCAAATAATCATCTTTTATTTGTAATATGTACATTCCCCCAATTAAGGTAAATAGAGTGAAAAAAGGTAGAAAACTAGAAGCAGGGATGAATATCACTTGTGTTCAGAGAAACCGTAGAATTTTGCTTTTGGGAGGAATAATAGACAAAATCCAAGCCCCTTATTTTAAAAGAGCCTCACTATTCTCACTTATGAGAATAGTGAGGCTCAGGGAAGATCAGGCTAATGTCTAAGTCATCGGTGGAATGGGGAATGAACCCCAGGATTCAATCTATTAACTCACATATTTTTCTCTCAATGGCAACATGCACTTTTATTAGGAACAACATTAAGAACTGCAAAGATTCTCTTAAACCAGAGTAATTATGTTTTATTGGTGTTGCATTACATAATTTGGGAAGTTACTGTGAATTCAGATGCACAA